TTCGATTTCTCCTTCAAATGCCCTTGGCAGACAACGAACCAATAGCAGAACACCAATTAAAATAGTTTATACAGAAGTTCTCCCTCCAAGGACGAATTCACTGTTTTATCAGTGAACTTGGCAGGGAGAATATAAACTACTACAGGTGACTGGGGCCAAATACAGACCAAAAGTATCAGCATAAATTCACCCTGCTACAGATCAGTAGTCAAAACACTGCATAATAATATACTATACTGATTTTTAACAACAAAATTTTCATTTTTACAGAAGAGACTTCAATATGCATACTGGGACTTTTTCCATACTATTTCAACTGGAACAGAAAACAGGGGCACTTTTACATTTAAATGTACAGTACCTTATGGCTATTTATTGTCACATTTGACTTATTCCCCTAAAGAGAAAAGACCCAAAGACCATTTAGCTTTCTATAGATTAGGATATATTTTCCAGGGCTCCAGATATCCATTACCTAACCCTGACAGTGGCTCAGCTGTGAACGTTTTTTTCTAGAAGACAAGGATGACATGTTGTGTTACTATAAGAACTGTTTTTAATAGAGCTTCCTTACAAAAATTCTGCTGAGAAGTTCATAAGCATAGTGTGAATAAATAAGCTATATCAACCTGCATCAACAGAACTAAGAAGGCCAAAACATTTCTACTTCTTGATTTGCTTTGGCAGTCAGAGATCACTAATGATATTGCTTACCGAAGTAGGTAGTGCCATAAGTAAAATCTGAATTTTCTCTTATTTTCCTTTTCAATACAAACACCAGCTTTAGAGATACCATTCCCATCACTGTCACTGTTATTAGGGGGAGGAGTGATTGATTGTAATGTTGATGAACAGAACCATCAATGGTATGTGGAACATAGTAAAGAAATAGCTTCCTTTTCCAAGAAAAAAAAAAGTGGGAATCTATACCTATATCAAAATATATATGAAATTAAAGGTCTGAAATAATTCATCACCGTAAAAGCAACAAAAAAATACTTTGTGTATCAGCAATATTAGGTACTGTGGAAATAACTGATAACAAAGACACAAATGTCAGGCATTAGTATTTACATGAAAATCACTTCAGATTTAATTCATAACATAAAAGTCAAATTTAACTTGAGGGCTATATCCTTATCCTTTTCAAAACCGTAACAGCAAAACACAAAGAAAAATATAAGCTTACATTCCCAAGATTCACTTACACGTCGGGATAAAGGGCTTATCCACTTGGAATGGAATCAAAACCTACTACTATGGCCTAATGATTGCAAGTAGCAGCATACAGCACACAGCACACAGATTTCCTGTAGGAAACGGCAATCAAATAAGTGCAGTAATTGCAGCCTTTTCAGTCTCAGGATACAATTTTTTTTTTTTTTAAACAGAATGGCAGATACAAAAAAAAAAGCTATTAGAAAGGTAGTATGGCATTACAAAGGAAGACTGTCCAGGAACAATAGGAGGGGAACATTACTTGATTTGTTCAACTCTTCTACTGAGATTACATACTTGTCCCTAAGTCCTAAGAAGTCCTACAAAAATCCTAACCTTGGCCAGGTAAAATAAAAAAATCCAGAACAGTTGGGACATCAAATTTGTATTCATGAAGGCCTGGGAGAATACTGCCTTCAGAGAGTGTGTTGAGCAGATTGTTGTTCAAGGCTGGGGGAAGAACATACTATTTATCACATGCTTGATGGCTTAACTCAAATGAAAATATGGAAAGTTATCATTAAAACTTTCTTTCAACTTGCAACCTATGGATATAAAATTTCTTTGAGGCCAGTCCACATGTCTAATGGAAAATATCTGAAACATAGCTATCCTGATTGCCCACAGGGTAAAGTAGAAAACAATCAAACAAAAAAAATCAATTAGGAATCTATAGGAGTCCTTCAATATAAAAAAATCCTAAGAAGTAGTATAGCTCATATTTTCTCAATACACGTAAATAGAATACTAAAACTATAAATACAATTTAAAAAAAGACTTGCTTAAGCTTTTTGTAAATAAAAAAAAGAAAAGGCTAGGGAATCTTTTTGCACTTAAATGTTATAAACCATTTTAAGATATATTGTCATCTCGAAATAATTGCATTAGGAAATTAGTGTTACAGAGCTGTTACACTTCTCAGGAGTCTTTTCTCAGTCAATATAATTGAGAATTAAAGCTGTCTAAGCAGGCAGTCTTCCATGGGATTTCTTCTGACTTCATCTTCCTGTGATTTCAAATGCAGAACAGTCAAACTCAATTGCTATTTAAAAAGACTGTTGAAAAATTGATCTAACATGGCCTATACTGTAGTTCCTCAGCAGGTTCTCGTAGAGAAAGAAATACTTTCATCTTTAAAAAAATACAGAAAATAACATTTAAACAAATGGAAACTTGAAGTCAGTGTAACAAATGGTTTAAATACTAGAATGAAAAGTATGGGGACAAACCCTACAAAGAAATAATAAATTAAAAACTACCTGCAAAGACGAAGCTGATAATAGAACTAAACTCATAAACCAGAACTAATTTGATAAATATTTATTATCATTATTATGGAGTATTTTTATCATAAATTGTAAACTTTATGAGAGCATTGTTCAGTTTTAAGTGAACCCTGTAATAGACTGGCACTGATAAACAGAACAGCATGCTTTTTCAACAAATGTAATGTTGAAAGTAAATGCTTTTAAAAGTTGAGACTTCCTCAATAAGCTTTTACTCATAAGAAAATTACTTATTTATTTTAAATGTTCTTCTCCTCAATGATACAAAAAATTAATGTGTTCAAAAGTGGAAACTGTATATTAGGGAGGAACATTCGTATCCTTATGAAATGTTGAATTTAAAAGAGATCAAAATAGCCTAGTAACAACAGGTAATTGTTAGAATACTATCTGATCACACATTCCTGTAAAGAATAAAGAAACAAAAAAGGAACAAGCACAAAGAAAATAACAATGCTGTGACCAGGCTTCAGATTAGTAAGCGATCATTGGTAGTATTGACTGAGAAAAGGAATCCAAGCAATTTTGCAGCATCATTACTCTTTCTTCAGTAAAGAGAAATCATATTTGGTCTAGGGAGATGAGTGAATAATTAAACAGGCGACTTTTCAAGCAAGGTTCTTAATACAATTTAAAAAGCCAGAGCTTTCTAAATAGAGTGTAGGGAGATATTCATCACACTTTGCTTTGTATCTTTCACAGAGAATTTTTTTCCTTTGCATCTTCCACATAAAAAATTGAAGGAAAAAGTTAACTATGGGAGGACACCCAGCAATTACCATAAGTGCATTGTTAAAAACCAGATAAACTTCCTAGCTGTTCCCCAAGAAATAATTCAGTACAATTTGTTCTAAATCAGTTACATGCTAATGAAAGGAGTTGATTGAACAATTATCACACTATGTTGTTTAAATTTAGGATCTCTGTCATGGAGATGAGTTTTTCAATTTCCCACAAGATAGCTTCCTGGCACTGCTAAAGAGAATCCTCATTTCTTTATGTTGTTGTTATGTTTAACAGAAGAGGAAAGAAATTAGTGGGACTAAATTACTATGAAAAAAGTAATTTATATACCTGGAATGTTCCAAGGCAACAGAGAATAATTGTCATCAAAAATTTTAGATCAGGAAAAGAAGGCAGGCAGGCAGGAAGGCAAGAAAGAAAAGAAAGAAAGAGAGAAAGAAAGAAAGAAAGAAAAGGAAGGAAGGAAGGAAGGAAGGAAGGAAAAGGAAGGAAGGAAAAGGAAGGAAGGAAAGGAAGGAAGGAAGGAAGGAAGGAAGGAAGGAAGGAAGGAAGGAAGGAAAAGAAATAAAGGAAGAAAGAAATAAAGGAAGAAAGAAATAAAGAAAAAGAAAAGAAAGAAAGAAAGAAAGAAAGAAAGAAAGAAAGAAAGAAAGAAAGAAAGAGAAAGAGAGAAAGAAAGAGAGACCTCATCACTCTCTCCAACTCCCTGAAAGGAGGTTGTAGCCAGGTGGGGGTTGGTCTCTTCTCCCAGGCAGCTATCAGTAAGACAAGAGGGCATGGTTTTAAGCTGTGCCAGGGGAGGTTTAGGTTAGATATTAGGAAGAAATTCTTTACAGAAAGGATAATCAGGCATCTCAATGGGCTGCCCAGGAAAGTGGTGGATTCTCTGTCCCTGGAGGTTTTTAAGATAGACTGGATGTGGCACTTAGTGCCATGGTCTAGCAACCGCAGCGGTGTTGGGTTGAGGGTTGGACTTGATGATATCAGAGGTCCCTTCCAACCCAACTGATTCTATGATTCTATAATTCCATGAAATTACAGACATAAAAATAGTGGCAATATTGATTCCACACTAATATTTTTCTTTTCTCTCTGTGTCTAGTACATGTTCATAGAGCTGGATATATTAAAAGTTTAGATATAACTCAGAAGTCTGAGAAGTAGCTATGACCTTTTCTCACAGGAAGCAAATTTATAATTTCAATTAAAACACCTAACTTTGATGGAGGACAAAGTGCAAGTTAAGCAATTCATCCAGCTAAGCGTGACTGTAGTATTCTTAAACTCTTTAGTATAGAAATAAAATTTTAAATATCTTAAGTGGTAAAATTAGTTGTTAGAAGTGTATGGGGATTAAAAGAAAGCAGAATAACAACTTTAGGTACAGAATATAATAGTTAACAAGAAAGAGAAAGGTTGAGGGTTTAAAAGTGATTTAAAAATCTTAGCGCAAGATTTTTGTACTATCATTGCATAGCTGTTTATGAGAGAGAATGAAACTAATAATTAGCATATAGTGAATAAAATGGGCAGTTTATATCCATTAAAGTTTCTTAACACCATTTGAACTTGAATAAATTGAAAATATGTTAGATTAGATGTAGTGAAAGTTTCACTTTTGTAATTTGCCCATAGGAATTCACAATACAAGAGAACTTTTTTGGCATCTTTATCAGACTTAATGAAGGAAAAAATTCTATATCATATACACATAATACACTTAATGAACAATTTCTTTTTCTTTCCTGGTAGGAAGAAGATGAAAGAGGAGAAGTGAATAAAAGAAAGTGAAAGAAACAGAATTATTTTATTGTAATGCAAACAAATTACTTCATTTGAAGAACTCAGTGTCTTTCCTGACAGTATTCCATCTCCCTACATATTTTCTCTCTTAAAAATCGGTCTGAGTACAGGTGCTGAAATAGCAAACACTGGTAAGACATGCTTACACTGGTAAGACACTCAAACAGGGGTAAGACATACCCCTCCAGCAAGTTTACTTCTGGAATTTTTATTCTAAAAAATCTTGGATGATAATTTAAAACAGGAAGAATGATTATTAAGAGACAAATGACTGCGAGGATCAGGTTTTTTCTGGACTTTGCTGAGGTTGAATAGGCATCTTTTTTTCTCTCATAATGTGAGAGCAAGTCCTTCAGCCTCAAACTATGGGACTATACAGTTCTGTCTCTTTTAATGCTTTCTAGGAAAAGTGGGATGGATATCCGTGAGGGAAGAAAAAACAGTGCACTACCCCATCACAAACAAAGCACTGCTATCTATGTACACTGCTTCTCAGTCAGATCCTTAACATGCCCAGGATATTCCAGCTTTTCACATTCACATTATTTGTGAATAGGGAGGGCTGTGTCATCTATTGGAGAGCTTTACAGGATCATTAAGGCACTGTGTTCATGGTCAAGAAGGCACAAATACCTTTTTTGTATCTTTAAGCAAACATAAGAGCCAAATGTATATTTTTCCTGAATGATTGGGAGCAAGAATTTGATTAAGATAACCTAATGGCTTTTAGCTAATTATGATATGCATTATCTGGGGACTCGTTGATATTTCAATAGTCTGAGCAAATGTTCTATGTTCTCAGACTGTGTTTTTGTGGCTTATATTACTGATTCTTTTCAGAGGGTGATTTTAGTTAAGATAATGTTATACTTTAGCATAGAGTATTCTGGAGAATAGAACTGTTAGGCTGTATTTCAACTGAATTTATAAATTTCTTTGTATGCCTCACATACATATATGCTGTAAAATACATGGTTTGTTTCTGTAGTTGTAAAAAGACAAAATGTAGATGTGTATAGACAGTACCCAGAAGTGCAGATAGACAAATCTTCAAGGTTTTTATACACATTCATTTTCCTTTCAGTTCCTTTTCTGTCAGCCATATAGCTCAACAGTTATCAACCCTGGCAAACTCACTCAAAGTTTTCAAGTATCTCTCATCTTTTCCAACAGCTAATTCAAATGAAAAGAACAGTGCTTTACTATGCTTCATAAGTTTTTCCCATCTAACTAATCTCTCTTAAAGAGAGTTTGAGAATATTACTTCTTCTATGCAATGTGAATGATGAGATATTCCTTTCTTTCAACAAATTTCTTGTAGCTGAGGGCTGCTGTGATACTGTGATGCTGCACACAAACACACACATATAGTTAACACACCCCATCTTATGTCAACTTTTCCTCATAGATCATATTTTATACAGAATTGATCATTCTTTTTTTTTAGAAAACTTGACTCAGGGATTAAAATGTAAATATTGTCTCAATATTTATAAATTTTTAATGAAACACTGAAAAATGTTATCAGTAACACTGAAAATATTGATATTTCCTGTGTACAGAGTGCAAGTGGAGAAATGGTCTGCAGAAATGGTCTCTGTGAGGAGCCACTGGGGCTGACCTGCCCCGTACTGGACACAGAGCCACTACAGGGCACAACTAAGCTCCTCAGCCAAGATAGTATTACTTCTGTGAAAGTTTGTGCAAGAAAGGGTAAAAAAGTTCTTAAGAAAAATTCTGTGAGAGAGAAAAGTAAGAAAAATGTAAGAGAATCAGCCCTGCAGACACCAAGGCCAGAGAAGAAGGAGAAGAAGTGCTCCAGGCACCCGTGATGAAGACCTTGGTGAGACAAGCTATTTCCCTGCAGACCACGGAGGTCCACGGTGGACCAGATACCTACCTGCAGCTCCTGGAAGATCCCATGCTGGAGCAGGTGAACATAACTTGAAGGAAGTTGCAGCCCCAGTGAGTTCATGCAGAAGCAGGCTCACGGCAGGAACTGCAACTCATGTGGTACTGTATCCTGTGGAGAGGACGCACGCTGGAGCAGTTCTTCAAAAGCTTCAGCCTATGGAGAGGACATATGCCAGAGCAGTTCATGAAGGACTGTACCCCATTGGAGGGACCCAGCACTGCAGCAGTGCTCAACTGCAGGGAAACAATGTGAGGAGGAAGGAGTGGCAGAGAAAAAGTGTTATGGACTGACCACAACCCTGATTCCCCATTGCCTGTGTCACTCAGCAAATATGGGGAGGAGGTAGAATAGTTGAGAAGAAAGGAATGCAGTTGAACCTGGTGTTACAATCTGCTTAAATGTTGCAGAAAGAATTTCAGGTTCAAATATTCCCTTGAGCAAAATTAAAACTCACACAAGTTATCTGTTGATAACAAAACTGATTTTATTAAATGCTAAGAGATGCAAAGAGAAAGAGGAAAAATTAAGAAAAGTTGGAAAATGCTAAGATTACTTCTAGAATTAGAGAAATGATACCACCAAAAACTACCTGTCCGCCAAGCTGGTGTTGGGGAGGGGGGAGAAGTAGTTTCTGCCCCTTTTTTTTCTCTGTCTCTGCTGCTTTTTGATGTTATTTCTTTAGCTGTGGGGGGGTCTTAGCAGCTTTAGTTCTCTGGAATGTGGCCAGGATGTGTAGTGTCACCACTCATGTTGAGCCATGTCCCAGGCCATGCAGGGTCCCAGTTCAGCCGCACCTTTCGGCCCTCAGAAATATGGTAAGGGTAGAAGGATAAGATATAACACACGCATGTCGCACGGTGGGTCTCAGTTCTCTCCAGGCTGGCAGAGTTCCAGTCTCTGGTGGCAGGCAGGTAGCATGCAGTGGCAGAGGACAGATGAGGGGGAGGTGGGGAGAGATTTTCAGCTAGGGTAACTGGTTCTCTCTCCCTTTCCTCTCTCCCTTTCCTCCCTCCCTGATTTTCCCAAATTTTTCCTCAACTTTTATAGTGTTCAAAGGAGGTAGTATGTGGTTTCTTGGCACCCTGTTCAGATGTTCGAAGATATATGATAACCATAAACAATGCCAGGATCTTTTGGCAGGCAAACTCCAGCAGGAAGCTCTGGTGAGAACTTCCGGCAGAAAGCTGACAGAGAATTTTTGGTAGGAAGTTCTAACAGGCAGAAAAAATGGCAAAACATTATTTTTGGCATTTCTATATTATCTGTGTGTTACACCTGGGAAGAAAAACAGTGAGAGTGGAGTGATGGCGATTTTTATTTTGGTTTTGTTTCTCACCATCCTGCTCTATTTTTAATTAGCAATAAAATAAATTAATATTCCCCAAGCCAAGTCTTTTTTCACTATGATGACAATTGGTGAGTGAACTACCTGTCTTTATATCGACCCATGAGCTTTCCATCTTATTTTGTCCTTTGTCTGCTGAGGATGGGGAGTAAGAGAGCAGCTTGGTGGAAACCTGTCAGCCATCTAAGGTTAACCAACAACAAACTGTATGTATTTAGCCTTTCTCATTAATAAAATCATTTGCCATCTTCCCAAACAGTTATAAGCAATGTAATTTCTGCAGTGAGAGTAAATTTAACTGAGCAGACAATTATGTTTGAAGAAATATTTTCTAATTATAAACAAAACTTTAAAACATAAAAAGAAAAAGTTGTGGTTTAGTTTTTAAATATTAGACAGATGTATCTAGATAGCTAGCCCATTAAGACTAAACACCTTCTACCAATATCATATATGTGGTTAAATACAAGAGAATTGCATCTTATTATTATCAGAGATATAGAAGTAAATGATTTTATTCAAGAACATTGATTTCTGACCTAGTAAGCAAATCAAACACCTTCAGAGACAAAACCCCACTAGATTAGCAGTGACAATTTTCTAGATGTAGGCAATAAAAGTTTTTTGTTTCAAATAGCCAAATGAATGTTTATTTTATTACTCTCACTTTCATCCTAGTGAAACCATTATGTGGCATTTCAAGAGCAGTGTCATCAGATCTGGTTGACACGATTATTTGAAATTTTCAGAGCTATTGTATATGATCTATTCCTATTTGGCAAAATGAGGAAAAAAGATTTAAAGATTGTTCACAGTTTTGAAATTAAGTATTATTAAGTGGAGAAAAAGCAGAATTTCTGCTTTAATGTCAGAGTATCCATATTGTCTGTTACAACAGTGGATAAATGCCCCAAAGATAAAAAAATATCACCTTTTATGCTGTTTGCCATGCCTTAATTATGCTTTATTCTTCTTCATCTAAAATGGGTTGCTTGAATTGACAGTATCAGCAAAGTAGTTAATGCTTGTAGTTTTCAACAGAGAGTGGGAAGAGTCCTCAGTTAGTAGTATTTTTCCATATGAAAATTATGTTCCTAAGCCTGATTTTAACAGCAGTTTCAGATTATTCTTCAAGCATTATTCTTCAACAAACTGTTTCTTTGTGGAAATTTGCAATTCAGTAACAACAATAGAAGGGATGATGCAAGCCTCTGAAACTTCATTTTCTCGATGTCTTGTTCTCTCATTATCTCCAATTAAGACCCATATACTTATGTTTTCAAAATGTTAGGATTTGTCTTACATGATTTTTCTTGGTTTTGAAGAAAACAGAAGTTGGTAAAGTTTACAGCTTCAAAATAATTAAGATTTTTTAAGTAGAGTAATATTCTTTTTCCCCTGGGACTCATTTTATTCTTTGCAGCCTCAGTACTCCATGCTTCAGTAACTTTCTTCTCCAGTCTTCCAGTTTTCTCTATCTGAAAAATATTTTGAAGTCTATAAAAGTCACGGACTATTACAGAAGAGTGTATGTATATTTGGATAATTGTAAATATGTGAGTATGTGTGTATTCCTGATATATTTATAATGACAAAAACTTTTAAGCAAACAAGTGCATACTGGACAGTATATAGATGCTTTGAACTCTGTTTCAGCAGAAATATTTCTTATAAAATTGAGGTGGATCAGCATTTGATCATACTGTGGATACCCAGTTTGAAGGTTGTCACATCATCCCATACTAGCAAATGTTATTCAGAGAAAAAATGTCCATCCATATTCTCCTTCTATCACACCATTTGGCTTTTTCTCAGTTACACTGCCTAACACAAAATTTTAGCTTCAGCTTTTGAAGCTTGATATTCAAACTGCATTTGTTTCTTTGCAAACAGTCATGAAAAGATGACTTTGGACAGTGACTACTATAGAACTACAAAATAAAATTTGATGTTTGGCATTGCTGTTGGCATATTCTAGTATTATGACTAATTTCCTATATTTTGTGTAATGAAATGTAATGATTTGCTCTGCTATTGCTTCCCACAAATCAATAACAGATGATCCAGAATTAATGCACTCTATAGTCTAGTTGAACACTTTAAACAAGAAACAGGCCTTGAGCACTTTGGGACATAATCCAAATGGTTGGACTTTAAATGTGAAATAATTAGTGTGTGAAAGCTATTTTTCTCATAATTGAGATAAGCCCATAACTACACTTCAATCTTATTATTAAACTATGCTCAGGAGAGGAAAAAAAATGGATGTGGTTAAATAACATTGTGCAATATGGATTTAAAAAAAGAAAGAAAATTGAAAATTGTCATTCATCATAGAAAATTGAACAAGCATTAGGTAAATGCCTCAATTGCAAATTAAGTGATCACCTTGTCAGGGTCTGAGAATTCACCAGTGAATCCTTATTAACAGGAGGAACGTGGAAGTGAAATTCATTAGCAAGCAGTCTCCCTCACAGTTCTTCATGGTATAGATGTAGGTCACAGCCTAACTGTGCGGTGTAAGAAGAAACTGAAACACACTTTTGAGGTCTTCTTAAGTGGATTGTAAGCAAACAATGTGGAAGAAACTTGATTGACCATGCATGAATTTAGCAAAAAGTGTGGAAAAGGCAGACACTCTTTTTCATCAACATATGCTCACTGATGGTGATAACATGGGAATATAATTTTTAGAATAGGTGAAGGGCAAATATCACCATTTACACTGAATCCTATAGTGTCTTCTACATATTTGTGTAGAAGTTGAACCCCAGTGCACTTAAGGATTTCTGTCCCCAAATGTATATTACAGACTAATACTTTATGTTTGATTTTTCATGTGATCATGATATAATCATAACTGAGGAACAATAACTACAAAGGTGAGCGCTTGCAAAAAATATTCTCCTAACAGTTCTGTCAGAACTAGTATAATGGAATTCTATAAATATTTGGGGAAGAGGGAGGAGAAAGAAAACACAATAGTCTGGCAAATCACAACTATGTGATTCTTGCAAATAACTTACCACTCAAGAATTTGAATGTCTGTAGTGTTTCACTCAAACTGTTGGGTATTTATAGTAATGGTTGTGTGAGTCATATGCTTATTTTTATGCTACAAGTTTCAATAACAACTATTTTAAACATGAAAGTAATACCTGCCTAATGACAGAAAATGCTGCACAGATTATTAACTTTCAAGTAAACATTTTGAAAAAAAAACAAACTCAAGAAAATCAATACATAAATAACAGTTACATTTTTCACAGGAGCTGTTTATTCAGAAACGGTCCATTTGTTCTTTCATTTGTTTAGCACTGTAAAATAATATTTCACTGTCTGTGCTCTAAGTAACAGCCAAGTTTTATTAAAAAAATCTGGACAACATGGAATCATAGAATTAATTAATTTAGAAGTGACCTTGAAGGTTTGACCACCTCAGAAAAACAAAGCCAAATAGATCAAGTTGCTCAGGAGTTTTTCAGGTTCTTTTAATTATCTCTGAAGGTGTAGGTTTCACCACCTTTCCAAGCCCCTGCTCCACCCTCAGGTTTCACCAGCCTCAGGGATAAAACTGAGTTATCTCTGCCTCTCCTTGTTCAATGTGTTCCAGCCCCAGTTGTCACAGTGGTCCTCCACTGGAGTCACTTTAGTTTGGCAGTG